CATAGGTTATGTTTACTACTTAAGAACAGCTGATGAGAGGGGTGTTATGTAAACAAACATGTGTACCAACTGTTGGTGATGAAATATTTCATTTGTTGAAAACTCAATATACATATATATAATATAATGATACTATATCTTGAAAACAAGAGCTAATATATAATTTTTATGGTCACTTTCGGTTTTAACACGTGGAAATACATTAAAATCATCTAATTTCAACCCCGAAACAAAAACTTTGTTGTGTTGTGATTTGACGTCCCCAAATCGATAATATAATTCATCTCCTCATGGAGATAGCAGTTTTTCAAAGTATTCCCAAAATGCTGGGCTTGGGGTCCAATAATAGTTCCTTGAGGAGCACCACAAAGCTTTTTTTCCATTGGGCTTATTTTTGCAGGACATGCTTCGACTGCTCTGGCTTGGTACATCAATGGCCTCCTAGCTCCAGAAATATGGCTCAGGAGAGGTCTGTCTTACGTTTTCAAAGTGTACGGTGGCAACAACCCCCACAGTCCTGAGTATTACCACCCGCTCATTATCACAGATGAACCCCATGGAGGTTTTGATAAACTTTCTGATGAGGCGCAGTCGAAAATTCGAGTTTTAGTGGGGGTGGAGTATTCCAGAAGAGGGAGGCCAAGACCAACTGCAGGTAGGGACATTAAAAGCAAACGTTTTCTCTTACTTTTAAAAGGGAAGACTTGAGAAAGAGTGAGAAATATTTTGTTAAATATTCAAGTCAAATACTAATTGCAAAATAATAATTATAGTCCCATATATATAGGCATACCATAACGAATCAAGCACCCTTCATGCTTCGAATTGAAAACACAAAAGAACTCATGACTATGGCTAGGATCAGTCTGCAGAGGGGTCTGTCATATTATCTGAAGTGCCGACCATTCATGTATAGAAAACAGTTCATGTTGTGAATTTCTGTTGTCACAGTGCGTGTATCGCTAGGTAATAAATATGTGACCTGACGCTGATAAGATAATCGTAAACGTGCACTGGAATCATTTTTGAGGTTATATAAGGTTTCAGTGCCACGTATAAACCACTGTCATTCACGCCGGTAACCAGGCCGAAGCTGAGTCTAAAGTAACAGTGTAGTTTGGTCAATACACCAGCAAGGTACCAAAAAAACACCGTTTAGGAAGCAGAAGGAAACCGCTAAGATGGGTTATGGAACAAGTCTAGCAAGCAATACCTATTTCATTAGCGATTTTTGGCAATTTTGGCGTTTATGTTTGAATGGTATAACTGTTCTCCAAAATTGAGAAGAGTTTTTCAAGTAAACGTTTCACAATGCTTTATTTTCTCAGAACTATGTGTGAATCATAATAATAATAATACTGATATTAATAGATAAGCTGCTAGTCCACAAAGAGCTAAAGCTATGTCTTATTACAATAATCAGTCTAAAATTTTAGAAAGTGTCAAAAAACAAATATTATGTATAAACATGAGCTTCACATATCAGATGAAATAAAATCAAATCTAAATCGGCATAATTGAAATACTTGAATATTCCTGAGTACTATAAAAACAGTTTTCCAGGGGAATAGTTCTGACTCTCGTTTTTGAAGGAGCTTTGTTTGAGCACTTTGAACGAATTAGATGATTGTAGAGATTGGTATTGAATTAATTTTTAATAGACCTTGTGAGTTTGTATAGAGGCTGTATGAACAGATCTGCGTTTCTTGTAGCATGATGATGAATCTCCTGATGCTGCGAATAGATTGATTTATTTTTATGGATTTCAAGTAATTGACTATATAAGAATACCAATGGTAGTGGTAGTATACCCATTTTTTTGAAAAGCGGCGTACAGTGATCTCTATAATTGACATTCAGCAATTTTCTTACTGATTTTTTTCTGAAGTCTGAAGATTTTAATGGAGTGAGAGGAATTACCCCACAAAACTATGCCATAATTCATATGTGAGTGGAACAAAGCAAAAATGAACTTCTCAGGGCGTCAAGAGACAATAATCTATTCAGCTGTCGAAAAGCAAATATACTCTTACACAGCTCCTTACTCAGTTCATCAATGTGTGCATACCATGATATCCTGTTCTTCAAAATAATTTCAAAGATTTTTCCCAAAACGGGAATGATTGATATTGGTCTATAGTTACCAACCAGAGACTTGTCTCCTTTTCTAAAAAGAGGCAATACCTTTGTACATTTGAACATGCCTGAAAAACACCCTTTTTGTATACACGAGTTCAATAAAAATGACAGAGGATCTATAATTGCTGTTCATACCGTAAATATCTGAGCAAGAAGAATTTTTCAAGGATATCACTGCATCAATCATTTCTGATGGCGCTACAGGTTCAAGAAAGAATGAAGATAATGATGATTTAGCACCATATGTACATCTGTTTCAATGTATCCCATGTGCTTCATATCATTTTTGTGGAAATGTACGGAATGAAATTGTTCAATGCATCATTATACAGTGTCTGTGTATTTTTCACTGTTTGATTCCGGTTACAATCTCAATGACTCAGGACTTATGAATCGAATTGCAACATCTGATATTCTCTTGTTCAAAAGTCTTGAGACCACATCTTCTCCTTAATGACGTTACTAACATTATCATTATTTGTTTCAGCGGGTCCCCTCTGCCTTTCCCAGCACAAAGAGGGCCAAGACAGGAGACTGGATGACGACTTCGTCATGTTCAAAAAATTCAACCGCTCTTTGTCCTATCATTGCGAGGATGGAGAACCAGGGATATTGGAGTTCACCCCTAACAGTTCCTGGCCCGATGTTGTTTACTACAACTCCTTCACTCAAGCCAACATGGGGTGGAGGATTCGGATCGTTGATAGCTTCAACCAGAGATCTTCTTCCAGTAGGACTTTGATCAGTAAAATTCTAGTGCTTGCTCCCCTGTTTGTATATATTATGAGGCTGGCACTGTGATCAGTTTTTGGTAGCAGATGAACACGAAAAATGTTTTACCCATACAAAATTAGTTTGAATGTTTCTCTTATCACCAGGTTTCATATATTTCAATCGATTGATGAACGAAATTATTTATTAAAATTGAAACTTTTTTGTACGAAAACTTGTTTCATTTCTACGTTTGGTATTACTCTAACAAAATGTACAATAAAACCAAAAGAAAAAATTAAATATTTAGGAATCATCATAGATTCACATCTTCGGTGGGATCAGCATATTAGCTATCTATTGAAAAAATTGCGATGCATTTTATATAGATTCAAGTATGCGACGGAGAACTTGGACCAAGATCAAAAAATCATTTTGTACAAAAGTCTTGACGAACTGCACTTGAAATACGGTATTCTCGGATGGGGCGTGGTGTCAGGAACACACCTTGATGCATTGGAAGATCCCAAAGAAGATTCTTGAAAGTCATCCTGAATAAAAATAGTAAATTCTCCAGAGATCAAGTATATAAAGAGACAAAAACGTGTGATCTGAGACAAATATACACACATCGGAAAAGTCTAGGGATATTTTTAAAAATGGCAATAATTTTTTTTAGATCGCTTTAGGGAAAAAAAGTTGACGGATGATTATTAAACGAATGTAACTTACANGAACAGCTGCCAACTATGACCACCAGAAAATCAGACATGCATTGTTGGTTAGGACAAAAAGGAATTCCATTTTCCGAGGACATGGTTAAGGCCAAGCTTATGAGTGTCATTAAACAGCATCGTGATAGATATCGCCAGCATATGGTGGATACAATAGCTCGTGCTGAAGACATCACCATTTTGAGACTTCCTCCTTACCATTGCGAGTTAAACCCGATAGAATTAATCTGGGCTCAAATTAAGGGTTACGTAGCTCGGGAAAACGTGACGTATACAATTTCTGATGTCCAACGTTTATTAGAACTCGCAATGGAACGGATACGAAAAGAAGATTGGGCTAATGCTGTAGCCCATGTGATCAAGGAAGAAGAGAAAATGTGGAGATTGGACGGGATGGTGGACACTGTTTTCGACCAAATAATAATAATAGATTTAAGTGTGACTGGGGATTCCTCTTCGGACGAGTCAATGGATTCTGAAACTTCATAAGCATAACATAGGTAATTATTCCTTTGCTTTGTAGTTCTCTTTCTGTATAAAAGGAACATAATAATTATTTTGCAAATGTTTCTGTTTTTTTTGAAGTACTGTATCAGGCATAATAAGAAAATGTAACCAGTTTTACCATTGACACCAGGTAGCGCCACCTACTATAACAATTTTTACGTAATTACATATGTGTTTAAATAAATAAAAATATTATTTTGGTACGCCTCTGCAGAGTTGGTAAGATGATTATCCGTTGGTCATTTCAAGTGCGACGTTGCTAATGAATCACCTTCAATTGAAAATTGTTATAGTATAAAAACTGACAGGAAGTGACTTTTAGGTTAGGGCAATGACAGTAGCCAATAGACTACTGTCATTGCCTGAGAAAATTGCTGTATTATAGCATTCCAATTTGGCGTAATCTGACCAATCATAACCAAATTCAAACAAAAATTGATATTCGCCAAGGTAAGATAAAATAAGGTTTGAATTCCTGAAAACTGAATGGTTTCCTTTGTGTGAATGATATACACTCTGCAGTATATACCATCCCCTAACTCAGAAAATAAAACACAAATGAGATTGAAAGGTTTTTATATCAATATAAAATAAAATTACTACTCTGTCGAATAAACAACTTACAGAAAGCATGAATCTTGATTTGTTAATTGATTTCCAGTACCAAACAAAAAAATGATTCACAATTCAAACAGTATATTTTTTTACCATTTTTTTTACTACCATTAATAAAAGGCTCTGTCTAACCAACCACTAGTAACAAGTTTCAATGGTAACCTATGTATATGGCAATATTTTTATTCAACATCTTCGTTTTGGACAAATTCATAGCTTCACCAAACGAAGTATTTATATTAAAATCAACGAATCAACAAATCATAGACTACCGCGAAAGTTTCGTCATCTTGATAAAAACGTTTATTTTTAACAAAAAAATAATAATAATGAGGAGTTGCATTCCACCACAGCTCTAAACATTTTTGCAATACCTTTGTCATTAAAAATACATTAAAATATCACTTTTGAGATATTCGAAAATCAATTATCGATTATGGGATGCACCGGGATCTTGATATGGATATTTTCAAAGGTATTTTCTGTGTTTGTAGACCTTGGCCTGGAGGTTTTAATTCCTGGCGTGACTACCGCAAAGTTATACGAAACGCCACACATACAAATCTGCCCAAAAATTGTAAATTGCATGTGTTGAACCCATTGTGTTGAACATATTAATATACAGGGGGATACTTTGTACCCGGTTAAGTACCTCCACCAAATATGGGCCCCATATATAAGGCCGCCCGTGAAGGATAAAGGATCAGATTATTTAAAAAAAAATTGATCATCAGAAATTCTCGAGCGCGTCAGATTAAGGTAGGGTGAGTTAATTACATGCTAAAAAGTGTATATTCCATTAATCTGACAATTTGAGCGTAGCTGATTTTATTTTTATTTTGAAGGAAATAATTCAAGGATAACGAAAAATATATGATCTGACGATTTCCGCAAGCCGAAATAACAAAAATTCGTCGATAAAGTTTAATGTGTGCAGCTGTGTGATACCTTTATTTACCTCTGCGAGTTTTATATTCCTCTTTTCTACATTCACTTTTTCTCTATCTATTACTTTACACTCCTTCCCCACTCTGAATAATGTTGCCATGACGCCATCACAGCTAATCACAGAGACTCGTAAGTGATGAAGATTAATTAATCAAATGATAATGAAAAATTAAAATTTTTTGACCGTTTTTTAAAAATTATTTCCTTATAAATACAAGTATTCTACTTAAAAAACAAACACTTATTTATTTGCATGCTATTTCCTGAGATTTTCAATTAATTAGGTTCAATGATTGAAAAAAAAAATTTTTCTTGTCAGATTAGGCGAATCCCTCTAGATAATCGTCAGATTATGAGACAGCACGTCTAGAGGACATGTTGCATCCAAGTTGGTGGTAAGCNGCTTCTTTAAAAGCCTCGTTTATATTGACATTGTTCAATATTTAATCATGTTGTGAGCTGTCATTACTTTTCATGCATTATTTATCCTCTCGTTTCATTAAACTACTACAAATGAAATAAGTTACTTGATGTAGTGAAATTTATTGTATTGTACTTCATCTGGAGCAGAGAAATCAATCAATAGGCATGATGACAGCGATTAAAAATCACTAAAATGATGTATTCAATTACTGAAACCCTATGAATGGATTACAAAACACATAGTTTTTGTATTATTATGAGTGAGACCCGTGGGTTGGGTTACATATCGGGCGCGTCCCCAGGTGGTGGATAGGAAAACGGCCAGGGGACTAGAGGCCCTGCTTGGGAAGCCAATGTGGACTTACGGACGGGGTCGCCGGACTTCTGGTCAGTGGCAGAAATGAGTAGGGTGAGTGGAACTAAAACCCCCCAAAAGCCTTTGCAAAACATGTCACCGTGGACCAGCCTACCCAAGCTAAGGTGTAAGGAATCGTGCCGACAGCTGAAAGGCCGCAGGGTGATATGCGGTCACGAACGATCCCCTTGAGAAACTAGGCGAAACCTCATTGTTATCAGCCTACCTCTGGTAATGCAAGGCTCTGCCAGAGGTAACCAACTCTAGCCTTGCTACTCGTGGGAACACACAGGAATGAAACAACACAAAAAGAGAAACAACAAAAACCAATCCCGAGGCTGGGCAGAAGTGCTCACCTCAATCTGAGCCGGTGGCTGGGGATGAACAGAAATGTCCACCCCAACCTACCGCTTGGAATCGCTGGACATAGCAGATCACCTCTAACAACAAGGGCACTTCCTGTGGCGGACGCCAAGAGCTCCGCCGTGAATAAAGGCAAGGAACCGGCTGCCCCTGCAGGAAAGCTCCCTCACTTGTGCACCTCCACGGAGGGAACCCCAAGAAGGTTGAAGAAGCCGCGCAACGACAATCGCTGCACCTCCCAAAACCTTCGCGTAGGCCACCGCGAGGCACCTCATGGTTGCGAGTCTTGGCCTACACCTGCCGATGTAAAGGAGATGTCTCCTAGTGACCTGTCCACCTTCCTGGAAAGGACAGCATGGACGATGACCTAGCAGGACAAATCCTCGGGAGGATGTACAATGGGTACATATGGCCTAAGTATTGTGCACCCTCCCCCCTCTACAGATACCAGAGATACTATGAGTGAGATTATTAATACTTTGGTGAAATTAAACTAAAAAATACGGCAGACCTCCACGATATCTTGAACGCCAGAGCGAATTACGTCACTTTAGAGTAAACAAACGAATATGGCATATTGTATAATACAACAATAATACTCGACGCTAGTTTTTCCCGATTCTTTTACGCCTCAATATTGTTCACAGTGACTGTTTTCTTTTGTTGCGTCTCGTTGAATAAAAGTTAAACAAGGAGAGCCACAGAACCAGAATTTACAAAGGCAAACAGCGGCATCAAAGAAACAATCTAGAAACGTTATAACTTATCAATAATTATCTTTCAAAAAAAAATGTATGAAAATAAGTCTGAAGCCTCTGAAAGATACTTGTAGTTTAATATAAGCGGTTATGCTATTGAAATTATATTTCTAAAACTACTTACTTACCACACATTTACACATTGATTTATTCACTTAAGTCCTCCAGGGCATCTTGTGGCGATGATGCAATGAGTTATGTACGGTTGGAATACGAAGGAAATCTATGCACACTAAAAGGTAACGTAACAAGGGTGAAAGATATGATAAATGAAACCTAACCTCAAAAAAGTTTATTTTTTTATTGAATTTGATTCGTAACCAAGATGATACTGGTTTATAATTTACAAATTTAGGTGAATACTTACGTCAAAGTGATCTCCACGAGAATAAAGTCACTAACTTCATGAGAAATCAGAAATGAAACTTTCTACGTTACAGTAACGTTACTACAGTAACGCTAGTTACAAATACAAGTGTTGAAAAACATAGAACGTTTTATTTCTCATTTTTCATGGTCTCCCACCACATAATAACGTTTACATCCATTAATTCACTAATTTGGTATTGGTTTTTTTATGGGACGAATAAAAATAACTTGTTCCGAGTTTTTTTATTGATATACTAGTAAACTGAAGTACTACACACCATCGATACACTCTTGAATTCAAATGAAATTATAGGTTGTCACCAAATTCATGGTAAAGCTTCTATTGCTTATGTATAGTCTAATCGGACGTGACCAGTGCTGCCGCATGGTCAATTCAAAAAGTACCGAAATTTACAAGAAAATAGTACCCAAAATGTACTGCGCAAGACTAGGCATGGCACATGCGCATAAGTCATTTCAGACCAAATGCCAGTAATGCCAAACGTGTAATAATGTTATCCATTTAAATTCGGAAAATATATGGAGTAAAAAATTTGCTGGAAACTAAGAAATGTTCCTTAAGAGAAAGATCATAATCAGAACATTTGATAAAAAGGTGTCTTTTTCCTTCTTCATAATTGCTCTTTCACGATTGCAAATGTGTTTTGTTTTAATTAGGTTTCTGTCACAATAGAATGAACAATACTAAAGACGTTTTCAAGTAGCTAGATTCGAGAATTTATTTTTACCTGTCCATATTCCTATTTATTTTGACAAAACAATAAAACCAATTTCTCAAGGTGAGGTGTGAGGTTAGAAGTTGAAACTGCTGTTCTGCTGACTGACTGACAGATGACAGAACCACAGTTCACAGGCACAATACAGAACACAGGATTAAATAATGCAGAGTTATGATGATAGCTCGCAATTTTGACACAAGTACGGTATTTGCTGATCTGGAACTTGAAACACGGAATTGCATTGTTGCCACACAGATTGTTGTTATTTTTTACTGTACTCGATGGGAGTCAACGTGAAAATGTAAAAAATTGGGATTATAGTAAATAGTACCGAATAGTCTACATATTGATCCGGGTAGTATCTTCGTATCAAAATCATGGAATAGTACCGAATGCCGTACAATAGTACCTTAACGGCAGCACTGGACGTGACGTCACAAGCGACGCCATGACACTTTCAAGTGTTTTGGCGCGAATTTTAAATTCATCAAATAAAGTGTATTTAATTTATACTCAACTTTAATTTTTTGTGGAAATATGTATGATATACGCTTTAGTTATGATATATTTCCCAACATTAAAGAACAGTATTTCAAAATCTGTCATCATGCCTATTGTTCATCGATACACAAGTTTCTGTTATAGTGCACGCGGTGAAAATTGGTATCAATTTGTTTTGTGGATGCCTCTGTCATAATATACGTGTGAAAGAAAGAAAATTATATTTTATGAGTCAATATAGGTGATGCAATGGTCCTCCATGTGATTTAACCGTACATGTGTATTGAACATTTTTAGGTTATGACAATAATTGCACCACATTCTTAAATACCCGTGGGATCTTGTAAATAGTCCAATTGGTAGCGATATTGACGTTGCAGGCACTAAACATACTACTGGTTGGTAGTTGGTATAGAATCAAGATGTCTTTGTATGGCAGAGCTTTTAGATTTTGATAATAGATGGAGTGATATCACTATCAGAAAATTATTTTTGACAGGTTTTCCAAAGTAAGAGACTGCACATTAGCCAGATTTTATGCTGTTTTCTCACAGTTTTCAACCCCTTGTAGGATTCACATTAATTTTTTTTCATTCCCAAATATACACAAAATGGGAAATGTTAAAGTGGACTGTCACTAATGATGAAAATTTACCGCAATACTTACCCAATCCGAATAATTGTAAGATATCGTGCTCAAGTGCAAAGGGGTACAGCCTAGCTCATTTTTGGCATTGACTTCTGCCCCACATTCTAGTAGACACTTTACTACGTTCGCCTCGGGAAATATCATCTGAAAAAATATGACAATGGGTATCAATTATTGAAAAAATGCTTTATCAACAGCTTTATAATTCCGTCGTATGTTTTTGAGGTCAATTGTATTAATGCTCCACATTACACCATTAATGTTCAAATATTCAATTTGAATATTTGAACATCTATTGCTGTTTCCTGTCTTTCTCAAACTGTTGAAGTCAGAGAGAAGTACAGCTTTATTATTGTTCTGTTAGGACGCTAGTAGAAATTCCGACACTGTAGACAGGCAAGTGACGGCATTGGCTGGATGTAGGTATAGTCAAAAATGTATATAAAGCGCCAACATCGCCTAGTAAGCGCTAACATCGCCTAGAAAACGCCAAAATCGCCTAGAAAGCGCGAAAATTGCCTAGAAAGCGCCAACATCGACTAGAAAGCGCCAAAATCGTCTAGGAAGCGCCAAAATCGTCTAGGAAGCGCCAAAATAGTCTAGGAAGCGCCAAAATCGTCTAGAAAGCGCCAAAATCGTCTAGAAAGCGCCAAAATCGTCTAGAAAGCGCCAAAAACGTCTAGAGAGCGCCAAAAACTTCTAGAAGGCGCCAAAAACGTCTAGAAGGCGCCAAAAACGTCTAGAAGGCGCAGAATACGTCTAGAAGGCGCAGAATACGTCTAGAAGGCGCAGAATACGTCTAGAAGGCGCAGAAAACGTCCAGAAGGCGCAAAAAACGTCTAGAAGGCGCCAAAAACTTCTAGACAGCGCCACAAACGTCTAGAAGGCGCCACAAACGTCTAGAAGGCGCCACAAACGTCTAGAAGGCGCCACAAACGTCTAGAAGGCGCCAAAAACGTCTAGAAGGCGCAAAAACGTCTAGAAGGCGCAAAAAACGTCTAGAAGGCGCAAAAAACGTCTAGAAGGCGCAAAAAACGTCTAGAAGGCGTCTAGAAGGCGCCAAAAAACTTCTAGAAAGCGCCACAAACGTCTAGAAAGCGCCAAAAACGGCTAGAAAGCGCCAAAATCGGCTAGAAAGCGCAAAAAACGTCTAGAAAGCGCCAAAAAGCGCCAAAAACGTCTAGAAAGCGCCAAAAACGTTTATAGAGCTTCAAAAATGTCTATAAAGTGTCAAAAACGTTTATAAATCGCCGAAAATGTTTAGAAAGCGTCAAAAAGTCTAGAAAGCGTCAAAAAGTCTAGAAAGCGCCAAAAATGTTTATAAAGCGTCAAAAACGACTATAAAGCGTCAACAACGTCTGTAAAGCGTCAAAAACGTCTGTAAAGCGTCAAACACGTCTGTAAAGCGTCAAAAACGTCTATAAGCATCAAAAACGTTTATAAATCGCCGAAAACGTTTAGGAAGCGCAGAAAACGTTTAGGAAGCGCAGAAAACGTTTAGGAAGCACAGAAAACGTTTAGGAAACGCCGAAAACGTTTAGGAAACGCCAAAAACGTTTAGGAAACGCCGAAAACGTCTAGAAAGCGTCAAAAACGTTTAGAAACGTTTTTTTAAACGTTTAGAAACCGTCAAAAACAGCCAGCATGCCTCGAAAGTGTCTAGAATACATCAAAAACGTCTACAAGGCGTCAAAAAGTGTCAAAAACAAGTCTACAAAGCGTCAAAGTGACTAAAAACAGTCAAAAGTGACTAAAAACAGTCAAAAGTGGCTAAAAACGTCAAAAAGTGGCTGAAAATGCCCAAAAACAATGACTAAAAACGCCAAAAAGTCACTAAAAACGACAAAGTTACTAAAAACGTCAAAAATTGATTAAAAACGTCAAAAAGTATGTACATCAAAAAGCTGTTTTGACGTTTTTAGATGCTTGTCAACTGCCGCCGGAGCGCGAGGGCACCAATTCTCAAATTAACACACCTAGTGACAAGCGTTTAAAAAAGTCAAAACACGTTTTTTACTCTGTAAATACTTTCTGTCACTTTGTGAGGGTTTGTAGGCGTTTTTGTCGCTTTATAGACAAGTTTTGACTCTGTATATATTTTTGAATGTAACTAGATCCGGCCTGTGACGTCAATTGCCTGGCCCAAAGGATGCCACCAACTTTCCTAATTGATTAGATGAATAAATATCTATGTAAGTGCCTTTTTTGATTTCAATAAATTTAGTTTTGGAACATGTCCTAATACACCATTTATTACTTTCACTCGGAACAGTATAACCTTACTTACGATAGGTTCCTCATCGGTGAAATGACTAGATCTGATAGTGTTCAACTTGTTCACGCACAAGTGCAAGATTGTATCTTGCGAGACGACACACTTGATGTTTTTCCTCACGAACTCTGTTACCAATTTCGAAAGGCACTCCTTGTCTTCATCCGTTGTCGCAGTCCCTACCATGACGTATATCAAATGTGCGATGCACTTCAACATCTTGTCGAAAATATCGGCTTGTCGTTTGTAAACTGGCTTCACTGTCAGTAGCTGCCGAATTTCTACAAAAAAAAAAAGGAAACATGCTTGTGTCACATTTTTTAATTATCTTCATATATTTAAATTACGTGTCAAGTTGTTTGTCCGAAATGGGCTCCACTACTGAACCAATTTCAATAAAATTTTGCACATTGTGTGCAGTTTTGTCCAACTTGGAAGATAGGATAGTTTATATCTCAAATTATAATTGCAATATTATTTTATTGCGAATTACTTGTTCATTATCTGACAAAGAGTCATAGTTCTCATAGTTCGGTAAAATTCCAATAGATGGCGGTATAAGCCGACTAGATTCAGTGAGTATCCAATAGACGGGGCTATATCAAATGTACAAACGTGACGGAAATTTGTATCAATCGTTTTCAAATTTTGACCTGAAGTTCAAATCCCAATCCCGCGGATTTTAATACCTGCTATAACGTTTCCGTCTTTATTCTTAATAATTTCTGTTCTTTTTAGGTTATTGTTGATCAGGAGACAGAAGTTCAGGCAATTTTTTAAATTATCATGGATAAATCATGACTGTAGTCACCTTTTTTAAATGTTCATAAGCAACTATGAGTGATGCTTCTCAGAAAGGGTCAGTCAGCTATAAAAGACTGAAGTATCTGGTTCTTTATACGTTATTGTTGATCAGGAGATAGAGGTTCAAGCAACTTTTTTAATAATTATTATTAATGAATCATCTCGAGTGAGGTCGATTGTATATTATTGATTATTATGACTGTAGTCAGGTTTTTCTTAATGTTCATAAGCAACTACGAGTGATGCTTCGCAGAAAAAGCCTGCCAGTTGTTAATAACTGAACTATCTGGTTCTTTTTAGGTTATTGTTGATCAGGGGACAAAAGTTCAAGCATTTTTTAAAATTATTATAGATTAATCATGACTATAGTCAGCTTTTTTTTTAATGTTCATAAGCAACTATGAGTGATGCTTCTCAGAAAGGGCCAATCAGTTGTAAATAACTGAAGTATCTGGTTCTTTTTAGGTTACTATTGATTAGGACATATAAGTTCAGTGTTTTCAATAATTATTATTAATGGATCATTTGGACTGAAGTCAATTGTATATTATTGATTATTATGACTGTAGACTTTCCTAATGTTCATAAGCAGCTACGAGTGATGCTTCACATAGAAGGCCTGCCAAGTTGTTAAAAAGATAACTATTTGTTTTTTTAGGTTATTGTTGATCAGGAGACAGAAGCTCAAGCAATTATTTTAATTATTATAGATAAATCATGACTGTAGTCAGTTTTTTTAATTGTTCATAAGCAACTACGAGTGATGTTTTTCAGAGAGGTTCTGTCAGTTGTCAAAAACTGAAGTATCTGCTTCTTTTTAGGTTATTTTTGATCAGAAGACAGAAGTTCAGGCTCATGAAGGGCCTGCCAGTTGTTGAAAACTGATGTATCTGGTTCTTTTTAGGTTATTTCTGATCAGAAGATAGAAGTTTGAGTATTTTTTTAAATTATTATTGATGAATCATGACTGTAGTCAGCTTTTTTTAATATTCATAAGCAACTTTGAGTGATGCTTCACAGAAAGGGTCTGTCAGATACCAAAACTGAACTATTTAGTGCTTTTTCAGATTATTGGTGATCTAGAACCAAAAGTTCGAGCAATTTTTCAATTATTGATATACCATTATGACTGAAATCGATTGTAATATAATGATTATGACTGAAGTCAGGTTTTTCTGAATGTTCATAAGACAACCACAGTATGACGCTGGAGTTGGAATAAAGTTGGAGAAAGTTCAAAGTCAAATTGACTGAACATTGTGAACGGTGTTCAAATTTGAATATTTTCAAAGAAGAAAACTTCTTTTTTTTGTTCCAGGTTTCTGTGAAGCCCAAATCAATTGTTAGACCAATAAAAAAATGCGCATCTTCCCTGTTTCTCACAGTCTCTGCCAAGAAAATCAACTCACCAATTATGTTGTTGGTCATCATTTTGAAGGTGTAGACAATGTCGTGGAATCTTTGACGATTATTGTCCTCGTTATGCAGCTCGGACTTAGTGTGATAATCTATCATCAGCCTCACCAAGGCTTGCGCAGAAAAACAAGTATCCGTGTAGAGTATTGAATCCTTTTCTATTCTTATCTCAAGAGCTCTTCTCCAAAGGTCTATGCAACGCTGGTATCGCATCAAGTCCGCAAACGATGCGCCTCGATACATTAACCTAAATAATTGAGGTACTCCTAAGATATTTCTATAATTTTTTCGAACTGAGAAGGCTCGTCTAACCTGTAAATGGTATCCTTATGATGCGGCCCCAAAATTCTTTCGACAATCATCAGGCTTTGTATCTGGACCCTGTCCATGTCTGAAGATATTATATCAAGCTCTGCTTCGCTTTCGAATTCCTTTTCGAACCGGTAACACTCCCTCGGTGGCATTACTGGCTGCTTGGGTAATAACCCTGAGAGAAAAGAATGAATCAATCGTTCAGACGAATGAGTCAATTGAACCCGACAGAAACAGTGAACTTACCGTGCTTTATTCTGATATCCAGAGCAGTTCTCCAATGCACGAGAGCTTCCTCGACTTCACTGTGTTCATCCAGACAAGTCGTACCCATCAACTCATGCGCATTGGCCAGTTTTTCTGGGGGATAGTCGATGATGGCCATGAGGTATTTGGTGATACGCGTAGCACCTTTCAAACAGGCCATTTGTAGAGCGTCATCGCCATATCTAGATTTCGCATTGTAATTCGCTCCGCTTTTTAGCAGAAGCATCGTTGATTCTATCCTGCACATATTTATAATTGTAATTTATTGAACAAAATTACAATTTTGCTCAACTGGCTATCACCCGTGTAACAAAATTGCTTTGAAATAACATAGCTTATTTTACAATACCGAAAAAAATTATAATGTGGATATAAAAATGAACAAAGAAAACAATTTCATTGATAAAGTTGATTTAATTTTTCTAACAGTGTTTCTGTTGGGTGTCGATGTAGTACTCTTGCATGGAGGTTTCTTGTCACTGCATACTTTCTAATAATTTCTACAATGTCGCCATTTCTAGCAAACTTCTGAATAAGTGACGGTAGTCTTGCCTCGATAAGGATAATACAAGTGAGTATATACTTTCATATATTCATTTATGTATGATTATGTTTATATTTATTCATAGTTATTGTTCACTTTACACAACAAGATTTGTCAATGAGATTCCACCTTGTAAAGCATGTTTTGACTTTGACTTGAGTCAAAATCTTGTCAGTAGAGAGATACTACTACAGTTATAAGCATATTTTGACTTTGACTTAAGCCAAAATCTTGTTAGTAGAGAGATACTACTACAGTTACAACGATTTTTTTAAGGATACTTATATGTATTCTTGTTTTGTGTTTGTTTTGTCATTTATGTATGATTAAGTTTATATTTATTCATAGTTATTGTTCATTTTACACAACAAGATTTATCAATGAGATTCCATCCTGTAAAGCATATTTTGACTTTGACTTAAGTCAAAATCTTGTTAACAGAGAGATGCTACTACAGTTACAATGATTTTTTAAAAGGATAGTTATATGTATTCTTGATTTGTGTTTGTATATATTCATTCATGTATGATTAAGTTTATATTTATTCATAGTTATTGTCCATTTTACACAACAAGATTTGTCAATGAGATTCCACCTTGCGAAGCATATTTTGACTTTGACTTAAGCCAAAATCTTGTTAGTAGAGAGATACTACTACAGTTACAACGATTTTTTTAAGGATACTTATATGTATTCTTTGTCAGATTAGGCGAATCCCTCTAGATAATCGTCAGATTATGAGACAGCACGTCTAGAACATAAAGATGAACGATATATATCTTAATCTGACGCCCTTGAGTATTTCAAAATGGCGATTTTTTTGCACATTATAATAATGGCCGCGAGTTTGCGTCAGATTAAGAAAAATTTTCGAAATTGGCAACACGATTTCCAATTCTTGTCTTCGATTTTTTGTGTTATTGCCAACAAAATTAAAAAAAAACTCTAGTGAAGCGACAAAAGAGAAATTAATAGTCAATTTTTCAATAGTTTTGATTTTTGAATGACTGTATCGTCAAAAATAAGATGTAATCTATTGCCACACCTTCATGCGGATAAATTTGTTCATCAAAACTTATTGTATCCAACATTGATTCTATATTTATGTGTATATATTTATTCAATAGTTATTTGCATTACATATCTTCATCACCTAATTATTTTGCACTATAGAAAATAAATATTATTATTATTTCATTCATATTTTGACTTTGACTTAAGTCAAAATCTTGTTAGTAGAGAGATGCTACTACAGTTACAATGATTTTTTAAAGTATAGTTATATGTATTCTTGTTTTGTGTTTGTATATATTCATTTATGTATGATTGTGTTTATATTTATTCATAGTTATTGTTCATTTTACACAACAAGATTTGTCAATGAGATTCCATCCTGTAAAGCATATTTTGACTTAAGTCAAAACATTGTTGGTAGTAAGTATATTGATTATGTCATATGCTTTATTTTATACTTTATTCTACATTCTTTTACACATCGATAGATTTTCCATAGACACCAAAAATGGTGTCTAAACATTATTATTTTACCAGTTATTTCAATCATATCAAAATAACTGCTATTAACCTGACTTTCCCGCATGATTCAAATATTACATGCTACAATATAACTAAGAAAATACTGCATAAAGGTTAACTACCTGTGCTCCTGAATAGCGTAATGCAGAGCCGTCTTGTTCTGTATATCCCTAGCGTTGACGTCAGCTCTGTTCTTCAGTAAGAAATCGCATAACCTAGCGCTCTGCACCGAATTTATGAGGCAGGTGCCCCCATTGTAGTTGGGTCTGTTGATGTCGGCTCCGTGCTTTACCAAATGTTCAACAATGTCGTAGTGTGTCATGAAACACGCCGATCGGACCGGAGTAGAGCCAGTGTCCGATACGGCGTTAATATCTGCTCCGTGCCGTAATAGGATTTCGACGACAGGGAGCTTGCCTGAAACTGCTGCACACCATAGTGGCGTGACGACGTGAGTCGATCTGAAAAAGATTGAATAGAATAATAATAATCTTCATCAATCCCAAGAAACAAGAATGTTTATTACAGGGGTAAAATGTATATAGTGATTGAATAATTCATTTGAACATTGATTCACCAAAAAAGTGTATAGCACACATAATTACTAAGCATTGTAAGACCGAGTTTCAAACCTCTCTTTTCCAAGCATAATAGTCTTGGTTGAACTCACATCTCTCTGTCAAAGCATGGTTTACAAAAAATGTAAAATTAGTCTTCACATTCAGAAAACCACTTAGTTGTTCTATAATGAGCCACAGTCGTGTCTTTCGTTTTCAAAACATGAATGATGTTATTGGTGGGTTCATCAAAGTAAGTTAATGTCCTATAACAATTATTATGGTTTCTTGAAGTGGGATAGACTTGATAATGCAGACTCTGTGATACATTGTTTTGAAAACAGTAATTCTAAATTATCGAAGTATACCTATCTTCTTGCACTTCATAGAGCCCTTTCTGTTCGATGTCAGCTGAGCACTCTGTTATGAGATACTCCACTATCTCGGCCTGTCCTTTTTTACACGCAATGAACAGGGGGGAGCAACCGACCTTGATGCGATTCACTATGTCTCTCCTCACTTCCAGGGAATATTTTTCGAGTTTATTGCGAAGGGCGTAGGATAACCTCGCTCCGGGCACAGAGCGTTTACATTCTTCTATCAAGTCATGGAATATCACGTCCTTTTCATTAACAGGGTCTACTTTAACAGTTTTCCACATATTCGAATGCCCAGCAATTTGTTTTTATATTTGTATGTATGACACTTTTGACAAATTGAAGGAGGATGACAAAACAAATCTGACATTTCAATTCATCACAGAACTTAAAAAACAGAATTTTTTTGATGTTTGGCATAGAACGGATCAAGTACTGTCTGTAGACAGCAATCACCTCACATGTAAATTTTTGCTTCGTGTAAATATCAGTAATAATCACGGTCAATTCGCAGATACAAAAGATACTCGGCACAAAAGCTGGAAACATGGAGAAAGTGAGAGTACGCAACAGAAACCACAAACTTTCATGATAGACGTATATACTCTTTACACACAGATTTTGTGTCCTAGCCAAATACGCCTATGGAAGCGAAGACCAAACACACTGAGATATAGAACTTTGTCAGAAAAATTCGGCATCATCTCAAACCTAGATAACACACATCACTTTCTAGAATACTAGTAAAACAGTTTCATTGTAAAAGGACTACCTTTAAATTTTTGAATATAGAAAAATTTTGTCTGGAAAAGTTGTTTTACATCGACACCATTTACTTTTATAAATTCAAAAAACTCTCTTTAGAAACTTTTACTCCATGAAGAAAGTTCTGCTGATCAAATAGGGGTAACAAAAAATTTGTAATTGGTGCAGTAAACTATCCATAAGTTTTCAAATTGTATAGAAAAGTCGTTTGGATAGACATTTTTCATCATAGTATGAATTCAAAAGTCTCTTAGCTCACAAACAACTTTTATTCACTTGTTGCCACCTCTCAAAACATCAATTTTTAAAATCGCAGAAATAATAGTTTGTTCGTACAAAACTGAAATAATTGTGTTTTAACTTAGATCATGCAACGTGAAGAATTCAATTCAAATAAATCTTGTGATCTAATCGGAAAGAAAATCGGGATGGCTTCGAAAGCTACGTTTTATCAAAACTAGAAGGCAATGAATTCATATTCAGATAAATGTCAATTTAAACATTTTTGTCAAATAGAATTTTTGTGCATTTGAAAATTTGAGGGTTGAACTATCCTTGCATCTATTGATGATTTTTGGTTCTCTCTGTATGATTTGTCGGGCTGTTTCGGCAACGCTTTGGTTCAATTTGAATTTGTAGAAAAAAAAATCAACACCATCAATGTATAGAGTGAAAAATTCTCAGTATATACCACAACACAGTAGACTAAATATCCATTGAGATATGAAGCTACAAAAACAAATGTCACCAAAACGGACAAAACTTTGAAACAACCTAATAGTATTATTATAAGTTAACGGCAATAAAATAGTTTTTTATAAGGACAATATATTTTCAGTTTCCCTTCGTCATTAAGTACAATCAATGTTAAAAAATTACAATAAAATCCATTTAGGCAAAAATATTTGGAATGTTTCGGTGGCGATTTTTCCTGTTGCTCAAGCAGCTGGATTGAGTTCTATGAAAACATCTTCAACAGGAATCGTAATTTCTGACATAATATTTTTTGGAAACGTAGTTATTTCCGTAGACATTGTTTCTGCCCATCTAATGGGGATCATTTCGTCCTGAAACACAAAACAGATACTTTGATGATTATTTTCTACAATATGATCAGACTAACGTTTGTGGAATTTCCATACGACGATTGATTTGTTCATTTCCATATGACTGAAAATGAAGATACTTACTTTGAAGAATATTTTCTCTTTGTGTGATCTTTTTTTCGTTTCAATCTTGAGGAATATTGTTTCTGAATACCGATAAGGAACATTCATTGGCTGTATATAACAGGTAGTGGTGTATCTGAAAATTAAATCATGCTAAGTCAACCATATTAAAAAAATCGTGTGACAGAGAATCTGCCACGAGAGTTGGAAAAAGCTATAAAAATGATCTGGAAAGAACGATTATATATTGCATTTTTATCAGAAACTAACTTGAACAAATAAAAATTGATGCAGAAGCAGATGAAAAATAAATGATTTGAATAAAAAACTATTTATTTCGGCAACCGCCCGGTTGAATATAAAAATCTTGTTTTGATTAAAGCAGTTGGAAATTTTGTTCCACAAAGAAATGTGTCTCATTGATTTGTTATTCTCCACGGTAGCCGAAAAAATAGTATACTCAAAACCTCTGAAAACAGTTTTATTGCACTTTGCAGACTTTTATCTACTCGTCCAATTTTCAGGACTTGTTACGTGAGTTACTATCAAGTATAATTATTATCTACACTTTTCTACCTCTTTGGTGCTGATCCTGAGAAATCTGTGCTGGAATCAGTAATGATAGATATTTTGGTTTTCTTCTTTTTAGACGATCGGCTGTGAAAACAAAGCAACAAATAAAATCTGCAATTAACAACCTGATAATCATAAACGTACATTAAAACTCTCTTATCAAGACAGAAGAAGAATAATCCACCGAAATCAATGTTTTTCTTTATTACCACCGGAACTTTTCGACGTGAACTGAATTGAATCAAGCCAACCATGTTGATGTTTTGGTTCGTCACAGCAAACCATTGATAAAAATCAGATTCGTTCACTTTGTTTGCTTTTGCCAGGGGCCGTCGAATTGTGTCGATATTTTCTTGTGAAAACAAGTGATTTTTTGTTGGCATTTAATATAAATACGAATGATGACCTTTTTGTGCTTTGTTATTTCAATAGAATCGCACATTTATACGGGGTGGAAATTAACATTAATCTTTTACGTTACGTTTCGTTCTTTTATCAATATTATAAACTACGTGTGTTTGATGTGAGTAACAAGGGACTTCTTTTCATGAAATTGGATCTGAGATTTTGATTCCAGTGGCGAAGAAAAGAGTAACTTAATGAATGCTTGTGATGAAAACCAAAGTACGCCACTGTTTACGATAAGTTTAAGTACAATCAGTGTCGTGGTTGAGTTATTTATCACTTTACAAATTAATGTCATTTGCCCTTGCAGGGTTTGAGAAATAATTGAATCAAAAGAAAATAATGTGTATTCCTATTTTAATACATATTCAATTTTTACTTTCCTTCTTTACCTGCTTTCAGGTTCCTCTACCAATTTCTCTTCTAGTTGATCTTCTTTCTCATTCGATACACTTTGATGATGAGGTCTGGCTTGGCCTAGAAGAAAAAAAAACGAATATTGACAAAACGATAAAATCGGAGAGTACAAAAAATCAAATTGAAAGGCATTTATTTTCAGGAGACATACATTTTTGGAAAAAAAGGTTTTGCCATCTACTTCTTCATCTCCATTCAAAAAAATGCATCGAAAAATCATTCGTAAACATTTCGTGAGCATTTTATAGAAAAAAGTTGTTTATTTTGTCGAGATCTATGCCGTAGGAGAACATATAGAACGATATAAAACATTGTAATTATCTCGAAAACAATCACCTACAGCGTTGTTGAGGAAGTGTTCCTTTTTTACTTGGAAAAGATACGGGAGTTAGGTGTTTTTATAAAAGGTACCAAAAATTCACTGTCAAAAAAGTTAGGCGATTTGTAATAAATAATGACACCGTACGCAGCGTCTTCTAGATGTCACATGGAAATTGATACGAAATTATGATTCCCCACGTCAAAAAAAAACCCAGGTACTGAATTTTGTGCAAATAACTCAATTTTGGCGAAAGTTATTTTTAAAAAACGAAGAAAAAAATTCAATTTAAACACCCTGTATTTCCGAAATGAAGCATTTTCGGACACACGTTCATACATACTATTTTCTTGAAATTGTCTCAGGAATACTGTACAGCAATTCATTGTGCGAGTTTGTACTTCGAACGAGTACGGTCCATACTATTTTGTAATTTTCTATAGCCTCGAACATAAACATACGAATATTTGAATAACTCATCCACGAAAAGTCACACCATTAAACGCTTTATTTTTGTTTGCGCTATTATTAAAACACACTAAAACAGAACACTGAACTATTTTGATTTCGAAAATCGAACGTTAAATACCTTTTCAGAAGGTGTGAACCCCGCGAATCTTAAATCACACTTCGATTTATCTTACCATACTTTAGTCGTCACCCGGCGATTTGAGTGCCTATTCCCTTGGTTTCTAGTTCTATGGGCGAAACATTATTTTGGGGATTAAAGTGTCTCAGTGATACCTAACACAAGTAATTCATAAGCGGTGCCTACCAGAATTTCCAATTCATTTGGGTAAATATTTATAAAATACATACCTACTTCGATTTGGTGTTTTGTAATTTCATCAATGAAGGTTGTTGAAAAATTGATTAAAATGTCTGATAAAGGATATTATGTGTTAGCTAATGGTGCCCAAATCAAAACAGTCCCAACAAATTGCGCTTGCTTTTAAACTGAAAATCCTGATAAAAATATAGCAAAAACTTACCATTTTCATGACTAGTATTATTTCCAAAATCCTTCTCTTGCACTAATTCACCGCACAGTCTTTCATTTTGCAGAAAATCGTACGTTTTCGCTTTAACAATATCGAGTTTACTGGGCATTGATGCCATTTTAATAAATATCTCAACTTTGTACCCTCACAAGTAACAATCAAACAATTAAATTCAAATTCCGTTTGTCGTTATAGAATGTAACTGACAAATTCTTAAGAGGTGCCGTAATATTTATGAATCGAACAGGTAGTCACTCTTATTGAAACCCACTGTTACCACCTACTTTTATTATTTGTGATTCACTGATAAAAGTGACGTGAGGTTCGTTATCGGATTAGTCAAAGCATACGAGGTTATAACCCAGTCGAATTATGTAATTCTTTGAAATACTCGTATGTATACACTTTAAATAAATTAATATAAAAAAGTCAGATGATGATCAAAATAGACTCTCAAATTGTGACTTTCAGACGAAAAGTCACAATTTCGCATTAATATACTAATAAATCAATCTGTTTTTGCAAAATGGGGCAGTCATTTGAACTGTTTATAGATGTAAGTTCTGAATCATCAGCAAACAATTTAATCCATTGCAGGTTAACGAACTGCACAGATCGTTAATAAATATTTCAAACACTAGTGGCTAGTGGCTGAGTACACATTTGAAGAGAAGTCATGATAGTTCACATATTGATAGGTCATCAACGTACAGTAAAGATGGATAGCAGGCAAAATGGATCCTTGGAGTATGTCGAATTTTCTTCTGTTGAAAGTCTTTATGAGAAAATGTAGGAAACATGGGGAATGAGGGAGATCGTTGATGGAATTGATTATCAGAGAGTAATTGGTGAATATGCAAGTGAGCAAGAAATATAAATATTGAGCTAAACATTGTCAGATATTTTTTATCCATTATTGACTGGCCTATTTCCTCATTATCACGTAAATATGGATAATTCTTGTTTATCTGTGGCTGAGCTTCATGACTGTCGACATTGTCTCTATTTACATTTCCCGGGACAGACGAACCATTCGATTCCAAGAGGCGGTCTTGGTTTTTTGGTTTCGTACTGAATACAGATGACAATAACGAGTCATGGTAGTGATTATTGCGAAAGTGTTGACACGGCGGGGTCATCGAATGCAGTGGCGTAAAGAAAAACTTTATCTGTTACGACTGCTGCACGAAAAGTGGGGCAATTTTGAAAGAGTGCGCTTCACTCATGCTCCCTACCAAGCAGGAAACGATATTCAAAATAATGTAGAAATGCCGTCGTTAGTTACTTGTCGTGTTTACAACTTTTGCCTGCAAATCAAATAATTGATGGGGCGATAAAATCAATATATTTAACTTTCTTTGAGGTGTGTGAATTCTATTTCTCCATTAGTTATACACTTTGCGGTTGAAGAAACGTGCGTCGGGAAACGTATTGTGGTTCTGGTGTTTTGGAGCAGTCTCTGTGTTATATAACTGAGCTCTTGAAAGTGAAAATCAATGTTATGACTTATAACAGTTCTACTACTGATGAAGTTTTTGTTGACATTTCTGAGAAAACTTTTGAAGGGTTAGGTTTTTGAAAAACTTTCAGCTCATGTCAAAACTATTTTATGGGTATGTAGTCTGCAGGTTTTTATACCTGAGTTATATGCTGAGTTTTCATGATTTTGTATCTGTAGGGGAGGGAGGGTGAGTGTAGATCCACAGCACTTAGGCCATATGTGACCCATATCGTACATCCTCCCGAGGAGTTGTCCTCCTAGGTCATCGTCCATCCTGGTCTTATCCATCCTGGTCATAGATCTTATTATTGCAGTATAGATCCAGATGACCAGCGTTCGATCTAGCTATTTCGCTGCTTTGAGCAAAACAAATTTTGCCGCCTTTATAAATGAATGTAGACCTTCATTTGATTATTTGTGTTTTATAGTTACGCTCCCGACAGTATAAAACTGTTCTAACGAAATCAAGAAGGAAATCGTTATTAATACCGAGTTTGAAATGGAACCAATCTTCTCTTTATTCTGGAAAGATATACTAACATGAAAAACGTATCACTTTTCATTCTTTGAAATGAGTGGAACATGAGGCTGTCTCCAATGAAAGAAAGCGTTCATTTCATCCATTTACTTTCCCAATATCGGGAAAGTGAAAACATGTCAATTAACAATAACAATAAAATAAGTTCTTTTGTCATCGCAGATTTCAGGATTCTTTCATCAATTTCCTTCATCAATTCTGGAGCTAGAGGTTTCAGTTACAGTAGGAAAGAAATGGTAGTAACGAAGTTGAAAATAAATGTTGTCATGAGACAAATTTTCGAGGAATACAGTCATTTCTGTCTGTATTATTCACATCATTTTTGAAGACATCAACGATTCAAGAATATAAATAATATCTGCAGTGGCTGCGCTTTTTCGTACACAATCATTATTGGATTGATACGTCGCAAATCTAATGAAACTAAACGTACAGCTCCAGCCACAGTGGCAATTCTCTTCCACAGTCGATAGCAACTAACACAGAAAGAAGTTTAACAAATAACACTCAACCACAAGCCATATTCTTTAGTACTAACAGCTGATAGTCTAACCGAAATTTTCAACTGACTCAAAAACCTGATTACAAACCAAATACATTTTTATTTTCGGAAAGGCTACAATCAGATTGGGGAAGCCATTTATTTCAACAATGCAATTTATACGCATCAGATATTTTAGATAGTGGTTTGGAAAACATTTACTGACAATCTTAAGAAGGATTTCTATGATTTATATCATCAAATTTTGCCACAAAATGATTGTTTCGGCCATGAATGGAGTGTATTCTTGATTAATGATTGATTTATTGATATGAAATACGTTGAACTTACCTATATTATTATATGTTAAGGTTGAGTTGAAAAGTACAAGACTAGTTTGTTTGAAAATAATTGACATTTTTACTAAATTATACCTATCCAACAAAAAAGCAACCCAAACAAAGTGTTCAGTTACGTTTTAATTCCTGTGGTGGGTACATATACAGTATTTCAAAGTAAAATTTTTTTAAATGTCCGACACGGCTTAAGAAACTGCTAATTTGTGTCCCACCACTAAAAAATCCTATACCCAACCGCATATTGTTAAAGAAAAAAAATCGAATTTTGGTTGTACCTCAGTACGACTCTGTACAAGCAACCTTGTCTGGGAGGTCACGTGCACTATGCATGGTAATGTTTCGCAGCACTCTGTTGCTTGGCTAGACAAAATATAATTCAGACTTCCATTGTCTAATATGATTCGAAATTTAGGAAACAAAAAAATTAAATTGGAATGAATAGCTGAAACATCAATTATATTAAGCAATAAAAAAAAGTGATAACCCGGGTCATCGGGTTATCAATAATGAATTTATTCCATTTGGCTTTTACACACTGTATAAAATATATTCTTCTCACGTATCAGCTGCAAGCCGACTAACAATTTGAACGATAATTTGATCAAGTGCAGGGAAAAATTAGGAATAGTTTTCGTTGGAGTTTTCCTCATTATGTCATCGCCGATTTCAGGTCACGACTTGCAAAGATCGTTTGTCTTCCAACTCTCATTATTGATTGCTAGCCCGAAATCAATTCATTCTGAAATAGGGGCATTTTGTCCGTTCCAAAAAAATGTACGATGACCGAAATGGACATACAAATATCAACATGTATTGTTTGAAGGTGGTTGACAATTTTTCATCTGTTCGGACTTCCATTGTCTTCGGGTGATAACTGGACTCATTCCTCCGAGATCTGACAATTTATATGTCATTCGAGTGCTTTCACTTATCCCCTCTTCCCTCTCTCCGCTTCATCGGTTTTAGCGGAAGTTGACCGTTTGGTGGGAGTTGGTCGTGTTCCGCTTGATTAGAGGTTTCCATATGTTGCGTATCTCTACGCTAGCTTGGCTAAATGCGTTGTTGGACAACAAATATGGGGCTTCTTTGAATTTTCTTCTAAACCAGAGTTTATCCTTGAGGATGATTTCAGCTTGAGACCATTTGATGTTATGTTGATGAGTCCAAACATGCCATTTCCGATTTGCTGGTTTTTTCTCGCTGTGTGTGTTTCTTCTGCTCGGCAATGCAAACTTTCAATGGCCCCCTAGTTTCACCGATGTATGATTCTCCGCAGTCGCAGGGTATCCGGTAAATGCAATTCTTGGAATCGCAGTCCGTGATTAGTGGCCTGGTTTTTGTGAGGCTGCTACGGATAGTGTTCCCAGATCTGAAGCAGGTTATGATACTTGGACCCAATCCTTTTTTTTCTTTCTGACAATCCTCAGATTTAGGGAAGTACAAGTACTGGCTGTGGCGGCTTCTCTTCCTTGTGGAGCTCTTGCTGTCTTCTAGCTAAGCCAGTTCCACTATCACTTTGGAGTAACCATTTCGTTGAAGGTCATTTTTGATGTTGCCTAGTTCCTTTTTGAGACCTACCTTTGTATTACAGAGCCCGAAAGAGAGGACTAAGAGAGGAATCATCGGGAGTCTACTAAACCATGCTTCCGGGTTCTGTAATACATTTTTGATTTTATAACTTTGTGACATTATCTATTTTAGTATCGTTTTATTTCTTTTCAATATTGTACATTGACGTTTTCCTCTTTTTCATTTGTACTTCTGCTCCTGTGGTTATACAGATCAATCTGAGTGAATAAAGAGATTATTATTATTATTAGGGGCGTCTACTGCATGCTTCATCCTCGGTGCTCATTTCAACTCGTTTGAACTCAGGAAACGGTTGATTTTTCTGGTGAAAAGTCCGAATTATCTTCATCAAGCCAAGCCTTGGCTTCAACAGTATTTTTTTCGCCAAAAAGCAATCATCAACATATGAAATTCATTTTCATCCATTTTCTTCAAACTAATAAAAGTTGTTGCACTCGAAATGTTCTATTCCAGAAACTAGTAGTCCGATAGCTGTGATATTTGTAGAAGTGTCTTTTGAAGGTTGGGGTTAGGGTTGGGTTAGGTTAGGTTGGGTATATGCTCTGCTGTTTCATCATTTTCAAGACAGAGGTGACACACACTGTCTCCCCACAGTCCAAGTCTCTGCATATGATGACGGTGACCTGTAAGAAGGCCTGTTAGACATCGTAGATCATGCCTACTGTAGTCCAACTGTAAGCCAGAGCTTCGCTTTGGCCGAATGCTGTAAAGCATTCGACCACCAGGCAATTGCACCATAAGTGATCATTGGTCTAACAATCATCACATAAATCCAGTGAATTTGTTTGGGACCTAAACCCCAAGTTTTACCACAAATCCTTTGACATGTCCATAGAGACAGTATGGCTTTGTGTAAAAC